CGCTCAATCGTCGTTGCGTGGGCTGTAGTTGCACCTAGTTGCACAGAAAATTATGCAAGAGAGTCGGGCTTTGCACTACTCAAAACTGCATTGACAGGTTGCGCTGCGTGTCCGCAAAACTTCAGAGTATGACATCTATGCACACGTTACCAGCGCGAAAAGTGCCGTGTAACCTGTTAGTAGTAACCTACGAACAACTCTGTGATTTATGTGTACATAGCCTCAACGCAACCCTCCCCCCACAAAAAAAAAAAAGAAAGGGCAAAGGCACAGTCATAAAGTATACCTCAGCTGCGTGCGCGGGTTCTCCTTATCGCTTGGCGGTGGGCTGCATTCGACGCCATTAAGTCTAGACGACGGGAAGGCGCCACCGCTGGTGCAGCGGGTTCGCACGGCGAGCATAGCATGCAGCGTGCAGCGCCGAATCGCCCGGGGACCACACGGGAGACACGCTGTTTTTGGCAGCTGTTGCGTAATTTGCTTCCGACTACTTTCTTTTGGTTTGTGCATGCATTGGGTGAAATCGGTGATGCTGTTGAGCAGCAGACCTGTGGGGTGTGGTGTGTGGCAGCTGCAACGAAACATCTTGTATGTGTCGGCGTTACGTCGTTTATCGTCCACTGGACGCTTCCACAGCAAGCGCCATTCGTTGCGACTACTGCAACCATTGGCCAGCGGCTCATGGCCGAATAACCGACTTGGGTAAGTGGCTTTTGCTACAGAATACTTTACAGCAAGTGAAGTCTTCTTTTTTTTCAATACTTATCGAATCACTACTTTTCTCAGCTGGGAATAGTGGCCTAACTATATATATATATATCGTGTTCGTCATGTGCTATTACTGAGAGGTAGGCGGTTATTCTCATGCAAATAAATGTTTTCTTCTCATGTGTGCTCGGGCGCAGCGACGATTACGGGCTTTCGTGTTGCCATAGATTCGTGAGCTTCGAATGAATGGCTGCAGCACTAATGTTTTAAACTGGAGTTTTAAAACCCTGAGCGTGCTTTCTGTACTTGTGAAGTGAGCTTTGCGCCGTAAACGTTTCATATTACGCTTGGTGCACGAGTGAAAGTATCTAGTGTGTGGCGCCACAGAAATATGGTTTATGCAACACATAAACAAAACTGGTTGACCGAGGGTTCAGCTAACCATATCGCATAGACGGGATAGATAGCGTGACAGAATTTCGCATTTTGTTAAAGTACGATTGCGCCATTTATTTTATTGTGTATTCTACGTAGGTGGTACAGAACAAGATATTGGAGTTGAACAGCCCAAAGCAAAGCGCTTTGCCTGAGCACTGCAAGAGCTGGTGGGCGCACCACTCTTGGATTTTTTTTCCTGTTCACCACGATGGATCAGTGAGTCCAGTACAGAAACCAAGAGGGGTGCAGTACCACAGGTAAGATTATTATTGGAATGTATGTTTGTTCAAAAGAGTTTTATTTTGCTGCCTCTATTTCTTGCCATGGCTTGTTTCTGAATGCTTTCACATGTTCACAAATACACACGCTTCGTTTTACGGCGCCGGATTTCATTTGACATGATTTCTCGAACTCTGCGTGCATCGCCCTCTGTGAATGTAGTGCTGTGTCTAAACTTTCAGAGGCCAACTACAGGCACGAATAATCATATTTGTGTGGTGACTGCGCAGCCCATGCTAAGTTGAATAACTAAGCGCCTGATCTACAGAGTACCAGTACAGTAGAGAGAGTAATCCCAAACGGCATATTGAGGGTGCCTTTAGCAAATTCTATTTTCGCTAAACCTTAATCACGTTAGGGGCATATCGATCCATCAGTGAAGTTTGTGACGTGTGTATATAGTCAGTGATTATACTTGAACCATTGCATGTCGCACGTGGTGGATGCCCCGGATTTCACGACGAAGTGACGTTGGGCTGCCGACACTGAAATCGCACGATATAAATTTTGATTTTTATTAGATCCGCCCCATGGGCTAATGCCATGTAAACATCCATGTTTTCTAGTACTACGTATCACTGTAATAATGAAGTGGCACCAAGAAGTTTAATCAATGGGCATTTCACCAGTGGCTTACGCAGTTGATGCTTCTGAAATCGCAGCTTTGAAAATGGAACTCTGTTTCCAAACGTCGCGATTGCGTGAACTTGTAATGGATACATGATATGTTATTCAAAGCAGATATTTAAACAACACTGGGAACTTAAATGTTTTATTGAATTTCTGATGCCGATGCACATCAAATGTTATTCAGACCACTCCCAGACAAATAATTCATGCACATATTGTCACGGGGTCGGGACGTGGAAAGGAGCAGACTGCAGGTAGAATAATAAACTGTTTGTTCGGGCCGAACTTGTGGCCACGTAAAAAGAAAGTAAGCTTATACCAAGACACTGGCACAGATAGCGGCGAGCAGAGCGTCGGTCATTGAACAACTGACAAGCGGCGAAGCGTGTCGGCATTTATACACTCGACATCGAATAATCTAGTGCCATCGCTAGCGGTGACCTAGATTCCAGAATAATCTGAAATCCTCACGACGTCGGCATAGTTTAAAAAAATGATCTGCGGCAGCCCTGAAGCTTCTCGAACACTGTAGGCGTGGTTTGTGCTGAGAATCGTGTACAGCGTAACGGGGTGATAAGAAAACTTGAGGAAGGAACGTGGCATGGCCCTTCTCTGAAAAAGGCATCGCCCCGATGCTTTAACAGGGGATAAAAGTGCAATAATAATGTAAGAAAGAACAAATAATAAAGTACGATACAGCAATAATAACCACAATTGATACACTCCGTTCGTTAATGTTTATGAAATGGCTTTAGACGCGTGACATGGACGACTTCAGGTCGCGATCGGCGCCGTTGAGAGTTCGTAATGCCGTACCATCGCAAAAGGTTTTCACTGAGTCCACGTCGGCGTATCGGCGTCCATACCCATAGACGTTCACCGGGCTGGTATTCCACGAAGCGTCGCCGAATATTGTAACGGCGGCGGTCAGTCGTCTGCTGATTCGCGATGCGCAGGCGGGCGAGCTGACGAGATTCTTGAGCGCGCTGAAGATAGAGGGTGACGTCGAGGTTTTCTTCGACAGCGATGTTAGGCACCATTGCGTTGAGCGTCGTCGCTGAGTTCTTTCCGTAGACCATCTTGTACGGTTTCATATGCGTCGTCCCCTGCACGGCCATGGTATATGTGAAGGTCACGTACGGAAGAATGGTGTCCCACGTCTTGTGTTTGACATCATTGTACATGCTCAGCATGTCGGCGATTGTCTTGTTTAGCCGCTCTGCGAGACCATTTGTCTGTAGGTGGTAGGCGTTGGTGCGTGGTGGCTTATCCAGCTATGTTTTAAGATTGCTTGAGTCAAATCGGCAGTAAAGGCCGTACCTCTATCGGTGATTACAACCTCTGGGGCGCCAAGACGACGGACGATGTTCTCAACGAACTTGGCTACCTATTCGGCGCTACCTCTGAGTAGGGTCTTTGTTTTGGCATAGCGGGTGAGGTAGTACACTCTAAGACAAAATTACCCGACAAAGGAGTAACGGAGCGAAATAGGCGCGCGCGATTAACGGATAGACCGTTGAGGAGCATCCACAGAAGGAAGCGTGGAGCACGACATCAAGGGATGAACCACCCGGGCATTGCAGGCAGCGCGAAAAGCGTTGCCAAGGTGACCAGGCCTCCCTCTCTTCCTCTGCTGGCTCCTCTTCCTCTGCTGGCCCGTATTTCACCTAGCGACGGTCCGCGTTGCGTCGCGCTCAAAGTGCTCGACCGCGGCCGGCTCAATTCGACGATCTACGAATTGTGACGTGGTGCTTGTGTGTACGCTTGGATGAGCGTGGGCTGCTGCTTTTGCGTTTCGCTGCACCCATGAAGTCTGGAGCAAGTCTCGACACGTCACCATGCCACGCTGTATATATCTGGCTTCAAGACAGTCACGACCAACACACGACAGCAACAGTTGGTAAGGCCAATATGGCGGCCGAAAAGAACATGCCTATCGGATATATACTTCAGTCCGACTCAGGGCAGAAAACAGCGTTGAATTCTAAGTCAAGTATATTATCATTCTTTATTCTACTCTACTTGTCGTGTGTCCGATACGGATTGCGCTTGTCGGCAACAGGCTCGGTCGTGTTGTATAATGCACGCACAAAATGTATCGCGAAGGTCAGCTTTGGCGTCTGCAGTTCGCCTGTGTTTTTAGACCACCTAGAAATTGGCCCCATTGCCATCGGCCTCCCGTACGCTCGCTCATCGAGTGCTCGCCTATCTTCGCCGCCGCGATGAGCTTCGTGCTGACGATATTGGGCTGAGACCTCGTCGTTGTGTCGGGGGTCGTCGAAAACAGGTTACGGGTTCTCGTAAAGAGCTTGGTTATAGAATGTCGCGCGCAGTAAGTGCACCAGCACGGGCTGGCGGGGCTTTCGCTAGCGCCGGAAATCACTGAAATTGGTCGCCATTACAGTTGGCTTTCCCGCCAGTCGGTCGCAAGAAGCTCGGCACCGTCTGCAGGCCGCGGCGGCGGACTCGCGTTTGCGCGTTGCACTAGCTCGGGTTTGTGGACGAGGGCCGTATTACTGTCAATGTCTTCGGCGCTAGCTCCAAACTAGCTCAGCGCGGTTCGCGGCGGCGGCAAAGCGTAGTACGTTCGCTCTCCCGCTCGAAGTTCGCTGGCGGCAGACACTCCGCGTGCAATGCCGTGTTTGGTCTCGCGTTTGCTTGCTCTAACTGAATGACGTCGCTCGCTTAGGACTCGCAGACTTGTTAGCGGCACGGTGGTTCGCGGAGTTGTGACTGCGGCCGCCACTCCTAGCCGTTGCGCTACAGAAATCGAAATGAGTCTTTGACGTTGTGTGACATCACGGTGAAATTATTCTCATGTCATATCTCTCACGTGTTTTTGATTTCACCTTGCACGTATTTCTCATATGCATTTGTATTCATCCTCTGTCACGTGTGACTCACTATTTTACATACTTATTGTGCAGCCTTGGGCACACACCGTGCTGAAGACTGTGCACTTCAGTCTGCGATGCCCGTCATCCATCTCTTTCGTCAGAGAAGCTTCAGAAAGGCTGTGCGAGTTGTGAAGGTAAAGTTATTTATGTGTCATAATTTAACGCTTGTTTTTATATTAACCTGCACGTACTTGTCATATTGCTGCATTTTCATCTTCTGTGACGTGTGCCTAACTAGTTTTACCATATAAAGTTACGTGTTGCCATGTTAACACAGCAGCAGAAGGCTGCGTGCGCTGGCGTCTGCAATGCCTGTCAGCTATCGCTTCCGTCAGAGAAGCTCCCCAGGAGGGAACAATATTTGACAACGAGACTGGACGTGTACACTTCACAATTAATTCACTTAAAAGAATGGGAAAACTTCAGGTGTATGTAGAAAAATAAAAGATTTTGATGTCTCACTTTTGTCTTTCGTTGTTGCCGTGACTGTGAAAGCAGTTACACATAGGTGGCTAACTACTTTTTCGCGTGTTCTTTTCTGCGGATTTTGTTGCTCACTGCGCATAAAAAGGCCAAAAAATATTAGGCCTGGCGGAAAATATACAAAAAGCAATGTTTGAACTGGGGACGAAAAGTTCGTTTGATGAAGTATTTGAGTGGATCAATCGTTCGTCCGGCAAGGTGCAACTGTGAGGACTAACGGTTGCCCGGTAAGGTGTAAATGTGGGGATTAACAGTTGCTCTATAAGGTGCGAGTGTGAGGACTAAGTTTTAGTCCTTTGGGGGTGAACTGTGGGACTAACGGTTACTCACTAAGATGTAAATGTGAGAATGTTAGTCCCTTGAGGGGACTAACTGTTAGACCCGGTGCCGTTAGTCCTCAAAGGACTTATTGGTTGTGGCTGCCCCATTACTTTCCAAAAGGACAAACCACACCCTTTTATCACCCTTTTGCCTTAGAGTGTAGCTACGACGATCCATTTGTTTCCTGAATTCGATGTCAAAACCGGCCCCGGTAGCTCCACCCCAATTTGTTGTAATGGTCGGCGAGGAGGTTCGGTCGGCCGAAGAAAGCCTGCTGTCCATGTCGGTGGTGTCTTGCGTCGCTGACAGTCTCGACATGTCCTCACGTAAAGAGCGACGTCGGCGGCAAGGTGCGGCGAGTAGTACCTTTCTTGTATCCTCGCGAGTGTGTGGGAAACACGGAAGTGTCCTGCCGTTGGATCATCTTATAGGGTCGGGAGAAATTTAGGTCGCAGAGCTGAAGGTAACACAACAAGTTACTTGGCTCGAAGGCGTGAGTTCTTTGTTTGTTTCGTAGCGAAAACGACGTCAGTGCCCGTTGGAATACCTTCGGAACAACGGAGGACCTTCCCTCGGGGTATTCTCTAGGCTCTTATATTCCGGGTCAGCCATCTGGCGTTCAGTGAAGTCAGCGGCAGTTATCATTCCCAAGAAGCAGTCGTCATTCAGTTCTCCGGGCGGTGGTTGGTCGACGGCAGCTCGCGACAGGCAGTCTTCGTCGGAGTGTCTTCTGCCGGACTTGTAAATGACGGTAATGTTGTTGTGACGTAGTGTCAGGATTAGGGCTCAGGACCGCTAGCCAAGAAACAATCGAGACACGAGTGCACACACACACACACACAAAATATATTTACACGGAAAAAGCAACTATTAATGGAGCATTTCTAAACATAGTCTTTCACGTACAGTTATATGGGAAATCTCTCACTAATTAAAAGTCTCTTGCTGTTTTTCTCTTGCGCTTGGACGCTGATCGCTCGGGGTGACGTGTCGTCTGTCTCGTTGGCGTCTTCAACGTGAGTTGGCCCACGCCATCTTACGACCTTCTGCCGCAGTAGCAGCAGGAGGGTAGCGGTCGCTCGAAAGCTCCGCCCTAGATCAACAGCTTTCAGCCGCCGCGTTCGTCTCAGTAGAACACCTGGCTCGTGCCAGCCACCCGTAACGGCAGCAGGACCAGCGGCCCACAGCAAACGGGAACTCGTAACCACTCGAGACGGCAGCCGGAACAGCGGAACGTCGCCTGGTTCCTGGACCAGTCACCCAGCCGGAGTCGAGGCCTCGTTAGCCGGTTGTCCAGTTGTCAGCAACGGCAGCCGGAACAGCAGCGGATCGCCTGGTCCCTGGGCCAGTCACCCAGCCGGAGTCCAGGAGAGTACAGCGCCTAGAGGACGTCTCTTAGTTCCCCGGACCGGTCGTCCAGCCAAGAACCGTCTGTCCTTGCCCACTTCGCTGCTTCGAACGCTGTCACGCGCTTTCCGATCCCGTGCGCTCTTCTTTGTCCTATTCACTCTGCTGTCCATGTTATCACAGTCGTATTCTTGAAGTCTCAGGCTCCATCGAGTAAGGCAACCTGAAAGGTCCTTCAAGTTAGCTAGCCAACACAAGGCATGGTGGTCGCTCACGACTTTTAACGGCCTGCCGCTGAAGTAAGGACGAAAGTTTGACGTTGCCCAAATAATTACAAGGCAGTTCTTTTCTATTGTGGAATAACTGATTTCTTCCTAGAATATAGACTGGCTAGCAGAACTAATATTGCTTTCCAGTCTTTCAGTTCTCTGCACAAAGACGGCGCCGAGTCATACGCTGCTTGGGTCAGCGTGCACTGTTGTTTCGGCATTTTCGTGGAAGTGCGCGAGTATCGGAGGCATCTGCAGGCGTCGTTTTAGTTCCCCATTTTCTCATATGCTATCTCCTCTGGGGTTTCCCACTTGAACTCGACGTCAGTTCTCGTAAAGTTAGTGAGTTGCTCGGCGATGCGGGCAAAGTTTTTGACGAAGCGCTTGTAATATGCGCACAGGCTGAGAAATCGACGCACGGCCTTCTTGTTAGCGGGCGGTCTAAATGCAGTGATGGCGGCTGTCTTCTGCGGATCAGGTCTTACTCCAGACTTGCTTATCAAGTGGCTCAAGAACAAAAGTTCCTCGTACGCGAAGCGGCACTTTTATGGCTTCAGGGTTAGTCCGGAAGTTTTAATGTCTTGAAAACAGCTTCATGGCGCCGAAGAATCTCGTCGAAGCTTGAAGAAAACACGACGACGTCGTCCAAGTAAACGAGACAAGTCTGCCACTTCAATGCGGCCAGCACTGTGTCAATAACTTCTTGAGAAGTCGCAGGTGGTGAGCAAAACTGAAGGGCATGACCTTGAACTCGAAAAGGCCCTCTGATTTCTTAAACGCAGTGATTTCTTGGTCTCTCTCGTCTACATCAGTCTGCCAATAGCCTGTCTTGAGGTCCTTCGATGAAAAGTATTTGATGCTGTGGAGTCGATCAAGGGCGTTTTATATTCGGGGGAGAGGGTATACTCCCTTCTTCGTTATCTTGTTGAGTCAGCGACAGTAAACGCAGAGGCGTAGTGTTCCATCCTTTTTTTTTCACTAGCACTACCGGTGACGCTCATTGACTTTTTGTAGGCTGGTTAAAGTCGTCGCGGAGCATTTCGTCGAATTGTTTCTTTATGGCCTCGCGTTCTCGCATTGAAACTCTGAATGGACTCTGATGGAGTGGCCTGGCATTTTCTTCTATTATGATTCGATGTGTCGCTACAGGGGTCTGTCGAATTCTCGATGACGACGAGAAGCAGTTCTTGTATTTCAGGTGCAGGTTTTCGAGCTGCTCTCGTTAATGCGTCGGAAGGATCGGATTAATGTCGAACGGTGGTTTAAGGGTTTCAGTTGTCGGAGTAGATTCGGCGGAAATACTGAGGGCGGAAGCGTTGCTGGCTTCCAGTATCGCTTTGAAGTAGGCAACCATCGTGCCTTTGCTCACGTGCTTGTACTCGTTGATGAAGTTTGTGAGCATCACCCTTGCGTTTCCTTCTCGCAGCTCGAGTATTGCTCTAGTGACGCAAAGCTCGGCTATACCTCTGGCGAAGCAAAGTTTGCGGTTGACCAAGAAGAGTTGGTGGCTTTGAATGACGCTTTGCATGTCTGTCGATTCTTGAGGGCCGACAAAAATGCTGATGCGGGAGTGAGGAGGAGTGGGTACTTGGTCTTCCAGCATATTCAGGATATGCCGTCTTGATGACGTGTGCGGCGTTGGTGCTTTTTCTGTGGATAGTGTTATAGACTGTGTTCTCAGGTCAATCACGGTACAATGGAGGCTTAAGAAGTCCATACCAAGGATGACATCTCTCGAGCAATGCTGCAGTACGACGAAGCTTGCAAGATAAATGTTAAGGCTGATACGACTCTGGCTGAGCAGGTTCCTGAAAGTATAACTAGGTGGCCTCCAGCTGTACGGATTTTAGGGCCTTCCCAAGTTGTCCTAACTTTCTTTATCTTCGCGGCGAATGTCCCACTAATGACGGAATGGTCGGTTCCGGTGTCGACGAGAGCTGTGACGCTGTGACCATCACAATGAGGACGTCGAGGTTGCTGGTTCGTCTTGTCGCGTTGCAGTTAGATCGCGGCGTCGGATCTCAGAAATGACGGTTTGTACCGCTGCTTCGGTGTTGCGTCATCAAGTGGCCTTCTGTCCCGGAAGTTTTCCTGTCAGGACAACGTTCATGTCCTAGAGGATTTGTCGCGGCGTTGTCGTAGTCGGCTGAGGTTCTTTGGCAGTTCATCGTACATCAACCGCACCTCCAGCCGTTGCTGCCCTTAGTTTTACGGATAAAGGCCAGTGTACAGCTTGTGGTGAAGCAACATGTAGCGGCCCTGTGACAACGTACGAGAAGATTCTAGGAGTGTCCGCTGCGCTGCTTCAAGGTAGTCGGCAATGTCGCAGGGTCTTCCCCCCCCCCCTGTGTACGTGGCACATATACGGCAAAACCACGCAGTCCCATTTGTCGGTACTGGCAGCGGCGGTAGGTATCGCCAGCTTCTCTGCAGTGGTAGCAGAAAGATTGGTGTTGGAGAGCACGCCACATGTCTAATTTCCTCGTAACGCTGCGCTGACCGGCAGATGGACGGTATGACGTAAGCGGTGGTGGTGGCTGGCGGGGAAACTGCGACGATGCAGCCTCTTGAGGTGGGCGTAGTCGGGGAGCGTAGCGTCGGGTTACAGCAGCGTAGCTTGAGCTTGAATTGCTTTCCTCTAAAGCTACGGAAGCTTTGGACATTCCAAGCGATTGGCGAACTTCATCACAGGCGGTGTCGGCAATTGAATCCAC